ACTTATTCATTCCATTTGAAGACCAAGAAATGAATAACTTTGCCCAAGTTCTGAATGACTCTAAAGTCTGTGCTTATAGGTATTTATTAAGAAACCTTTCACTGTATTTCCATGAAGATTTCAATATGCAAGGATACATATAGACTCATGGTCTGGGGAGATAGCACTGGGATCTCAAATAGAGAGAAGGGAAGCCCTGTGTTGCTGAATGGCTAAAGAACCAAGAACTTGGAGGCTGGTTATGGCGCAACCCTAGCTATTCAGGAGATGGAGGGAGGAATACCGGTGACAGCCTTGGGGTAAAAGCATGAGACCTTGCCTTAAAAAAATGCAAAAAGAACTGAGATGATTCCCCCAAACAATCAGGGCTTTAAAAAAAAAACAGACCTAAGATGATGAGCAAATACTTTCAAAACCATTTCCTAGGAATTTCACCTGAGACATGGTCCTTGTGAATACTATATTTTCTTATCACCAGGCATTTTGTCCTGTTTCTAAAGAGGTCAGGTGGCCAAGTATCAGGTCTTCTCTGTAGACAGAGGAGGAAAATCTATGCTAAGGGGAGGGCAGGGATATGCATGTGTGGGCAGGGAGGGAAGGGTCGAGGATAGCTGGTGTTCATCCCTGACATTGAGTCCCTAATGTCCAAGGACAGTAGGTAGATTGGATGTTGCCCCTTTAAGTCTTTATTCTCTGTTTCACAAGAGCCTCTCATCTTCCCTCTGAGACATCTTCCCACTAGTTGTGTCTGGATCACCTCCGGGAAGTTTCTGTGTTCAGCTTACCACCAGGGTAGTACAGCATTAAGAGTGAGCTATCATGGAACCCTGCTGAGGAGCCAAAGCTAGCAAGAAGTGAAGATCCCCTGACTGAACCAGACAATCTCAGACTTTGGATAGCTCTCTCCCTTCAGTGCTCTAGTCCCTAGTGGCCAGTCCCCAGGCTTTTCACTTCCTACTCTTTAAGTTCACACCAGCTTCCCATCTAGGGCACAGGTGCATCCAAGGGAACCTAGCTGTTACACAAGTAACACAAAACGCCACATGGAGAGAGCTAGGCTGCTGTCCAGGGCCTTGGGTCTCCATCCTGGCTGCAGAGTGGAATCACCTGCAGAATTAAAAAAAAAACAATCCCAGCATTCCCCCCACCCCACTCCCAGTACCCAGTCTGCCTCCATGTGCCAAGGTCAGGCATTTTTCTAAAGCTTTCCAGGAGATGTGAATGTACAGCTCAGAGGAGAAGCACAAATGGGGAAATCAATGCCTCGCATCTTAGCACTTATTAAACATCTACATTATAGAGAGGGAGAGATTTCTGCCAAAGAAGGCTAAAGAAATAATGGCTTATGTGCAGCTGGAAAAGCAGTTTCCTTCAGACACTTTGTGGGGGGAAGAAACATTTCCTGTGTCACAAATGGTGCTGGGAAATGAGCAGGTGATAAAAAAAAAACCCGATCACTTTTATTTAGTTGAAAGTATTTATGAAAAGATATGCTACTGTGGTGGGAAAAGGTACATTATTCAACATTTAAGGTTTCCAAGAGCCTCAGTAGTCTCCATCTGGATGTTTTGAGCTTTTGAAAAGCGAAGTTCATCACTATAAAGAACTATGTTCCTTCAGAGATATTAGGACCAAGATGGCACCCACAGTGAATGGAGACTGGAGTTCCAGCCTTGGTGAAAGGTGAAAGTGAAGTTATATCACAGACGAGCTCTCAGGCCTTGTATGAGAGAAAGAGAACTAACTGCCCTTCACATCTGCACTTAAGGGTCACTTCTAGTCTAGGTCAAAGTACCCCTCCCTCTGAGTAGCAGATGGGCAGAGATAAAAATATACTTCTGTATAAAAGTCAGAGTGGAAGATTTCACAGTGACCAATACAGTTGTCCGCACTGTTCAAGATTTGTCTTAACTGATCTGGAGCGATTTATTTATGACTTTGCTCATTACGCAAAGGAATGTTAACGGCGAGATGACAGGAAGAAGGCACAGCATAGAAAGCAATAGAATACTTGATTTAAAGAACATTTGCCAGAGCTGGGATTTAGCTCAGTGGCAAAGTGCATAACTAGCAAGTGCAGGATTCCAGGTTCGATCCCCAAGAGACAAAAGAAAGAAGGAGAAGACAAAATAAAGAACAGTTAAAGAACATTTGCCGAGATTATCAGATTTCTTCCACATAGCCTTTCAGATTACATCTACACATAAGATCAAATTCAGAAGGAACGCACCCATAATGAATGCCTACAGTAGCTTCGGGGAGATGTGAACAAGGTTAGACATGTGTTCTACAGTTTGAATGGAAAGCTGAAGTTTTCCTCTTTGAAAGTGCCACCCAGTGGTTCTGGCCTGGCTTTGCATCATAATACAGAAGAAACACACACACACACACATTTTTTTCTCTTCTACAAGACGGTTTTCTAAAATGTGAATTCATGTCTCTCCTTGCTTCAACTCCTCTATCCATTCCCTGAATCACCTGGGCTATCAATTCCTTTCCAACCTGGTCCTGCTGCTCTGAGTATATATCACTTATCCATATCCCTTTCCCATATGTTTAAATAATGTAAGCTCAAAAATGTCTACAAAAATGGAGACTTTCAAATCATCCTTTGGCTTAGAAATAGACACGGTGTACTGAACCAATGTTGTAATTTTTACTACCTGATTCAGATTATTGATGTTCAGAATTAAATGTCATATTTTGACGTCTCCATCACTGTGGAAACCCAGGAAGTCTCTAGGTGGCGCTAAAGCTGATGTAATCTTTCTAACTTGGAGCCTGTGATTTCTCTTTATTGGCTGAGCTTTCCAAACTCATGAGACTTCAGAGATGCTTGTGTGGGAGAGGCAAACTCATAGGAAGAAAATAAAGCAAAGACCTCAATCTTTATATGCCTCCCTATTTACACACACACACACACACACACACACACACACACACACACACATACACACAGTCAGACCCCTGTATCCATAGGTCCCCCACACCTGCAGTTCCAGTCAACTTCAGCTAGAAAAAGTATTTGAAAAAAGTAAAATCTACCTGTGCTGAACATGTACTGACTTTTATTTGTCATTCTCTAAACAATACAATTTAACTTGTTACATCAAAGTCATATTCATTTGTTATCTAATCTAGAGATATAATGGAGAGATGTTCATGGAGGATTGCAAAGGTGATAAGCAGATACTACATCATATAATATATGGGATTTGAGCATCCAAGGATTTGGGTATCTTTGGGGTGGGTGTCCTGGACCAAATGCTTTCAGTACTGGGAGACCAACTGTGTGAATGTGTATATCCCCAGTGCTTACAAAATAAGACAGTCATCATATTTTGAAAGCAGATTACCAAACAGAATTCTAAATTTCTTTGAAAGTATAACCAGAAAGGTGGAGGAGAGTGTCTTTGATTTTAGTACCAGTCTTAAACCCTTAAGAGTTTAACAAAAGCCAGTGTATGTGTGGCTTCACTGGATGGTTCTCGATGGTTCTCTTCACATTTGACATGAGATTAACATACACCCCATGCAGTGAGATAGGAGAATGTAGGCCTTGAGGTTAAAAATTCCTCTTGCCCCAGACTTCAAGTGTGTGAAACTCAGAAGCAGAAAAACTGTGCTCTGATAGCCAAAGTTCCTGACACACTGGGGGATGACAAAGCCGTGCTTTTCCTACGAAAATATGCTTCTGCTGGCTGCCCAGTACCAGGTGCAGGGTAGCATCTCCCCCCCCCCATCGCTAGGGCAGGTAGCATTCTAGGTACATGAAAGGTTCTGAAGGTGCAGCCTGGTACCTCTGTGAGCCTCTGCCATTGTGCACGAGGGAATGTGACATGGGCATACTTGGCACAGTGTGATTGGACTTCTGGCTTATATAAAGAGTACATTATCCTCCACCCAACATAGTGAAGTACCTCTCCCACCTCAGCACCCACAATAATATCCCCAAATGTCATGGATTCATGCTCTTTTGTCTTTTGTCTGTTGTGTATAACTTTTTATTATAAGTAGAGTTTTAATAATTCACTGATAGATCTACTTTTAGAGTGATAATTATTATAGGAGAATTTTTTTTCAGTTTTTCATTGCCTAGTAACTGTTATGGTAAATTGAGAGCTCTTTTTCTCTTTCCCTTTTCTTTCCTTCTTTTCCTTTCCCCTTTTTTCCTTTGCTTGCTTGCTTGGGGTTTTTTTGTTTTGTTTTTTGTTTTGGCAAGTTAGAAAATTATACCCCAGGGAAATCTTAGAATCTCATAAATACTAATTGTTTTTTCCCATCAATTGAACAAAAATCAAAACTACAATAATATGTGACTAGCTTTATTACAGTGTGGATTTTCTTCTATTCAGTCTCATCACCGAGAGACAGGTTGCCCTGACACAAGTCAAAACCATTCCTTTTTTTTCTTTTCAAAGAAATAAATGTCTACTTACCTGTTTTTGCTTCATCTAGAAAAGCAGAACAGTGACCTCTCCCAAGTAGAATGAATACATGACTTCACTCCACATTATATAGAGAGTCAACAGGGAAAAGATGGTATAAATAAGAACAAGTAAAGAAGGAACAGGAAGGAGAAAAGAGAGAGTGGAGAGAGGGAGCAAGAGACAAGGCAAGGAAAAGAGAGGCAGACAGACACCAGCAATGGAGGAAGGCCAGTGGTGAGAGGCAGACAGGTATAAGAAGAGTGTAGGGCCTGAATTCAAGTCAACTTCTCTCATCACACCTTCTGTCCCCTGAGCTGTAGGATCTCACTGATGGTGGTGTACTTGGCAGCATTCATCACTGTAATGCTTTAGTTTGGAGAAAGCCTTCCATAAAGAGGGTATCAAGAGCCCATGTAGGACATATGAAGAGATACCCCTTTGGACCAAGGTGGTGATAAACCTATCTGCAAGCCACAAGAAAACTGAACTGAGAGGCAGATATGTTTTATGGCTGAAGTTTCCCCACCACAGGAAGTAATTCTGAGCCTGAGGCCTTATGCAGGTGCTTACCTCCTCCACCATCTGTTTAACTTTCTTCTGCTGGCAGTGCACCATGTCATCTAGGTGTCTGATTCGCTCTCGGAGGCTGGCTGATGCCTCCTCCAGCTGCTGATACCTAACAGAGAAGAAAAAGCAGCTGAGTCCTAACACAACAGCCACAGGAATATTGCCAAAAATACAAGACTCCAAGATGTCCTCTTCTTAACTTGAATATCATAGGGGTAAACTACAGATCAGCTACCCCATCCTAGCAAGATACAGAGCCCTTTGAGTTCTCACTTTCAAGTTTTATCCTGTATGAGGACATTTATTACGCTTTCCAGGGACAGGTATTTTTGGCCACTTAAAAGTTTGTGAGGCTCTCATTTTTGGAGGGAGATAATAAGAAATGGACCATCCATCAAGAACCTTGACTAGAACACAAGAAAATAATTGAAACCAAGAGTCAGAGTCTTGGCAAGTCTAGAATTACAAATGTTCTATGCATCATTTGTTTGGGATTAACATGTTAAAAGAAGAGTGGCCCATGCCACAAAACATGCCATCCTTTTGTTTGAAAACAGCAAAATTATTCCCTACCTATGCTTGGTTCAAAGAAACCAAAGGAGCCAACAGATGACTCTGTGTTGTGTAAACTTTGAGCACAGAATGCTGGAGGAAGGGTGTGGTGATTGCACACCACCTTAACATCCAGGAACAGATTAGTGAAAATTCCTAGAACCTGGAAAACTTTGAAGTTATAAAACAGGAAGAAAAACAGGTTATTTTCAGCACCAACTGTGTGCCAAGCAGTGCACCCCAAAGTACCCTTACAACGTGACCCTCCAAGATGGGCACTGTTATCAATTTATGGAACTCTTCTTTCTTAAAAAAAAAAAAAAACAGAAAAAGATTGCCCATTTTACAGCTAAGCAAAAAGGCTCAGAGAAGTTAATGTGCCCAGAGTGCTCAAACCATCCCTGCCTGGCTTTCCTTCACAGGAGAAGCATGTATATTGGGGTTTGAACTCAGGACTTCAAGCTTGCTCATTTGTCTAGTATTCTTACCCCTTGGGTCATACCTCTAACCTAGCTTTTTGCCATTTATTTGGGAGATAGTCTTGAAGACTTTTCTGTCCAAACTGTCTTCCAATCTCAATCCTTTCAGATCTCAGCCTCGTAAGGAGCTAGGATTACAGGCATGAGCCACTGGCTTTTGCCTTCTGATTCCAGGAAGAAACAATGGACTATTCTTGTATTTTCCATTCAAGGTTCTACATGCTCATAGCCAAAGAGCAATGCCAAGTTTGGGCCAAAACAACATGTTTAAATTAATTTCCAGGACAAATGGTATTAGTCACTGTAGATGAGTTTGCTCATCCCACAAAGTTCACAGCAAAGGACATTTATAGACTGAACCTTTGCCCTTGCAGCAGTCTTTGCTGTGTCCCAGTGCACCACCAACCAGTCACAGGCTATAAGGTGTGGCTACCAGCTCCACACTGGGAGCTCTCAGCCTAGTGTCACACATGTTCAGTCTGTCACAATGATGACATGTGAATGGAAACTCAAAGGCCAGACTAGCCCACAAAATGAGATCACATTCACCCTCTAAATCCACTCCAAGACTAAGAATGGTTCCTCTTACCTCTCTTTGTCAGGCCCAATGATTTCTCCTGACATTTCTATTTCGTGCTCTAAGAGTTGGAGTTGAAGTTGGTGCCGTTCCTAAAACAAACAGGTATTGTAATCAGTGGGTCACGAGGGAGATGGACAGAAAGCGCCTGGTCAAGCAAGTTCAGCTCTAGGAAGTGCAAGTCTGTGTAATAACCCCAGAGATTACTCACTCACTCACTCAGAGTTGAAATAAAGCTCAGGGATGCCAAATATGTCTGTGTAGTTACAGATGCATTTCTAGATTCGAGGAAAACACCCTGGGAACACCACACTCAAGACTTCTTTTTTAAAAGTATTCTGTCAGCCCAGGCTCACATGTTTTATGAAGATTTATAGCTCTAAATAATGATAATGCTTCAAATAAGTAACCCAAGATACTATAAAATTCTTGCTTATTTTCTAAAGGATCAAGAAAAGAAGCTCTGGAATACTGATGATGTCCTAACCTGTTGGTGTAAGCACAAGGTCACTTCTAAAATATATATAAATATTGTGGTCAGATTATAATAGTAGCTCAGAGAGGCCCACCTCCTAATCCCTGGATCTTGCAAATGTGTTATCTTATAAGAAAAAGGATTTTTAAATGAGTAGATTTCCCCTAGATTGTTCAGTCGGACACTTATCAAAAAGAGGCAGTAAGGCTAGAATTAGAGGTTGAAAGTGCTATACTGCTGGCTCAGAGGCTGGAAGAAAGGGCCACAAGCCAAGAAACACAGGTACTCCAGAAGTTAGAAAAGACAAGGAAACTGATTGTCCTCTGGAGCTTCCAGAAGGAATCCAACATGCCAGTTTATTGATTCTAGGACTTCTCCCCTCGAGAACTGTAAAATTATAAACAAATGTTGTTTGAAGCTACTAATTGTTTTTGGTAACTTACTACAGTAGCAATAAGAAATATACATGCACGAGGCTATGTATTTTGTATATTTGGCTATATGTATGTAAATTTTAAAGTCTCCCAATAGAGTAAGAATATGGGCCAGTATTTCTTTTTTCTTTCTTTTTCTTTTTTTCTTTTTTTTTTTCTTGGGGCTTGAACTCTGGGCCTGGGCACTGTCCCTCCGCTCTTCAGCTCAGGGTGGGTACTCTACCACTTAAGCCACAGCACCACTTCTGGGTTTTTTGGGTGCTTAATTGGAGGTAAAAGTCTCACAGACTGTTCTACCCAGGCTGACCTTGAACTGTGATGCTCAGATCTCAGCCTCCTGAGTAGCACTGGTGCCCGGCTGGGCCAGTATTTCTTTAGAGAAAGTGGGGGGAAAATGTTACTAAAAAACCTGGTGCTATCAGTACTGAAATGACACTGAAAATTACGAACCCCATCTTTGCTGTCGGAAACTCTCCCCAACAAATGTTTACAAATTATGTAGATTCTAAAACTCCTTTCTATCAAATTATTGGCTGCAAGTCTTGGAAAATCTAAGTCTCATGATCTCTGAAGCTGTAAGCTGTGGTCCCAAGAGGAAAGCTTGGCAGGGCAGGGAATCTCCTTGTGCCAGGGAGAGAATCACATCCCCAATATGTTTGGAATGGTGAAGTAAGACCAGCTTTACTGGGTTTTTGTAACTGTTGTGAAATCCGTACAGCCAGCACCCATCCTTACCATCTGGCCTGGGCAGCGAGTTTCCCCTCCCCTCCCCTCCCCTGTGGGCTGTACCATGGGCTGGAAGTTATTATCATCAGCCCTGAAATAGAAGTGACAAGCCACTCACAAATGACTTCTTTCCCCACCCTACAAAAAAAAAAAATGCCATCAACAAGACCTAGCTACACCTCATGTTTCCACTCCAGTTTTGTAAAACTTGAAGTGCGACAAGCTTTCAGAACGCACTGCGTAATGATGTCTTCTGAGAAACCACAACCAGACTGAAGGCACAGAACACTCTCTGTCTCCCAGGGAATTCTGGGAGAGCACACTCGTTACAAGATTTTTGCTGGTCAGATAAAAAGGTAGTTCCCATACAGTGTTTAGTAAGAAAAACAGTGAATTAAGGTATAGGGGAGAGAAGCCATGCCAAAGCACACATTGTCCGGGCAAAATGCAACAGGAAATGAGCACAGGATGCAAACAAGGCCTGGGTTCCCGCCTGTGGACCTGCTGCTCACCCACAGTGGGACAGAGATTTGGCCAGATTCCTGCTCTCAAAGATTTACCCATGAAGGGAAAAACATGGGAATGGAGATATCTCATCACAGTATTTCTTCAGCCTTATTGGAAAAGAAGATTTAGAGAAAGAACCATAAATTTTGAATCACAAACCAACCAACCAAGTGTTGGCAAAGAGCTAGCCTCATCACCTTCTAGACCTCACCACATTTGCCTCCCATAATGAACTGCATGTGGAAATCAGCGGGAATAAACTAGAAACTTCCAGGATCCCAGGGATACAATGAAGATCTACTATAAAACAGGTCTAGCAAAGAAAAGCTGACTTTGGGACAGACACTTATGGCCTATAACAAGGACATAAATTCCTGAGCCTTTATTCCCATTCCAGGAATGGTGCATAGCAAGTAGCGTGTATGTTTCTCAGTTACTTCTCATGATAAGAACTAATGCTATCAGCATTTTATAGAAGAAACAGTTTAGAAAAGTTAAAGAACTGCCCACAACTAATGTGTGTGTGTGTGTGTGTGTGTGTATATATATTGTGGTCAGATTAATGGTCCACAGAGATGCCCACCTCCTAACCCCTAAATTTTAGAGGCAAGATCTGGGTCCTGTGATTCTAAATCCTCTGTTTTCAGTCAGGTGCCACTGGTTCATGCCTGTCATCCTAGCTACTCAAGAGGCTGACATTGTGATTCAAAGCCAGCCTGGATAGGAAAATCCTCAAGAGAGTCTCCAAAATAACCAGCAAATAAAAAGTAGAGTTGGAGGTATGGCTCAACTGGTAGAGCACTAGCTGTGAGCAAGCAAGCTAATAGAGTTCAAACCCGCGTACCGCCAAAACAAATGCAAATGAATAGTATCTGTGTTCTTGCCACACACATACATAGAATCTTTCTGGGAAATACTTTGCAGGTCAGCTCCCCAACCCTGCCTGCTCACCTCCGTCCTTTACACAGCAGGAAAATCTGCCATCCATACAAGCCAGTGCCTCTATAGGAGAATGGTGATGGGGCACATTCACCCAGGTTCTAGAAAGCCCTTCTGTTTGCAGGCCCCACTACCTCCACCACCAGTCAATACTGTTGTTTATCCTCAGCGAGCCAACCACCTGCTCTCCAATAAAAGCTGGAATTCTGTATCCCCACGGGGTAGAGATCAGATTATAACTCTCAAGTAAGGAGGTTACTAGAAAAAGTGTACCCCACGAGCCTGGAAGTACCCACTTTGTCTGGGGCTGTAGGGGATTGTGTGTGGTAGACACCAGAGGAGAGATGAGGAGGCCTCTCCTCAGATGCACGTGGTAGCGTACACAGAGACCTTGCTCAGCTGGCACTACCTAGCTTCCATCACCAGGCTGGAGATTGTGAGCATCCAGAGTGAGTTACTCAGAGCTACTATTATGCCTTGGTTTTGGTAGGTCACCTCTGTCTGCCACCTATGCAGCCACAGCTGCTTTCCAGAACTCAGAATTCAGCTGTCAGCTACTTTTATCCATTTCTTTCCTTCCTGTCCTCTGTCCTCTCTCCACCCCTTCTTCCTGTCCTCCACTTCCCGCCTTGTTTCCAGTTCATGATCTTAGCTGAGCTTTTGTCTTCCCTAGTACCCCATCCCCACCACGAGCGACTTCCCTGGTTCCTCCAAACTCTAGGTGTGTCAAGGAAATATCTGCCTGTCCCAGACACATGCCCCAGAAACAACAGGGGTGGGGTACTGACAGAACTCCGAAATAGGCCTTGGGTTACTCAACAGGTAAGCTGAGTGCATGTTTGGAACCCTGGCCGGCTATTACAATGGTAATTTGTGTAAAGGATTTCATACATAATGATTTCTTGTTTGTTTTGTTTTGTTTGGGGCTGTACTGAGGTTTGAACTCAGGGCCTCATGGTTGCTAGGCAGGTTCTTTTCCACATAAACCTTACTACAGCCTTGTGATGTTGTTTAACAGCATGAGAATAATTACCATAGCACAAACTAGAACTCTGTTGGATTTATTCTACAGACTGTGTATTTACTTGTTTGCATAATTACAAACTTAGGGTTGAGAGAAGCCAGTATTAAGCTTCAGAAAGGCCTGGAAAGGGAGTAGGGGAAAGGCAAAGGGACCTGGGTGAATGGGGCACAGATTCAGGTTTTGTCTGTTACCTTTTCCATGCGCTCAATGAGCCTGTCCAGCTCTCCAATCCTCTGGTCCTTTTCCTCTAGGCTGACCTCTGCCGCATGCATCTTTTGATTGGCTTCTTCAATTGCTTTCAGAAAACTATTGGTTTCCTCCTGCCAAAGAAACTCTCACTTCAGCACAGGTATGGAGTGATTGAGCAAGTCACCAGGGCCCAAGTAGCTCTGACTTTGTGCTGGCATCATTTCCCTTTAGAGTTACCACTTGCGGACTCAAGTGTCCCTACGTTTGAAGGGAATCAGGGCCAGATCTAGAATTGAATATAGAAGTCCCAGATCTCTCTCCCACCTCCCCGTGTATCCTCTCCAAAGAAGAAACCCTGTCAGTCATTCAGCACTCCTATTAATCCTCCGCAGACACAGAGAAGGCAGCAGGAAGTTCCTCCTTCTGACAACTTAGGCTGCTCTAACAAAGCCAGGATGAGAGCTGTGCATCCTGCTTCTAGGTCCGGCACAATGGACTTTCACAGCACAGAGCTTTCAAGGGCAGAGGAAACTTCTAGAGGTGTGAATGGCAGAGAGGTCCTACATGGAGAGGGTGGTGCTTATGAGGCTTTGGGGAGCTGAGGGAGAATCCGGAACAGAGAAGTAAGAAATTTCAGGGAAAGATGAACCAGTGGAGTAAGGAAAGGGCACGGCTGTGTCAAAGCCAGGATCTGTGTGGTTGCCAATAAGTGGACAGATGCAGCATGTATCGAGAAACACCTCGGGGTCTATTCGGAGTAGGGTGGGAAGAAGGGAGAGGGGTGAAGGAGCAGATAATAAATAAGAACTTTGGTCCCTCACTCACATCCTCCCCTCTAAGGGGAGAGATTGCTCACTGTGACACCTCCCCCACACCATGCTGCCCATTCGATGGGAAATGCTGGTCACAACACACCAGGAGAGCCTCTTTCTCGGCGCTGTGCTTCTGGTGCTCCTCTTGGAGCCTTTCCTCATACTGGCTATACAGCTTCCTGGTCATCTCCCTCATCACCTCAGCATTGGCTTCTTGAGACGATTCCACCTGCAAAGAGACTCATTGTGGGACTATAGCTTACACGCTTCCCTCTGGACATCTCGTGTGGGGAACGCAGGTCTGTAGTGGAGGGAAACCCCAGGAACTTCCAGGGCAAGGCAGAGGAAGAAGGCTGAGTAGACACATAAAACACAGGTGGCACTGTACACTAAGTTATTTACAATGATCCAAACACAAAAATTTAGCCAGGTGCTGGTGGCTCATACCTATAATCATAGCTACTCAGGAGGGTGAGATCTGAGCATTGGAGTTCAAAGCAGCCCAGGTAGGAAAGTCAGTGAGACTTTTTTTTTTGGGGGGTCCGGTCGTGGGGCCTGAACTCTGGGCCTGGGCGCTGTCCCTCAGCTCTTCAGCTCAAGGCTAATGCTCTACCACTTGAGCCACAGCGCCACTTCCGGCTTTTTGCTTATGTGGTACTGAGGAATCGAACCCAGGGCCTCATGCATGCAAGGCAAATGCTCTACCACTGAGCCACTTTCCCAGCTCCGTCAGTGAGACTTTTATCTCCAAGTAACCAGCAAAAAAAAAAAAACCAAAAAACCTGAAATTGGAGCTGTGACTCAAGTAGTAGAGCAGTGGCCTTGAGAAAAAAAAGAAAGGAAGGAAGAAAAGCTCAAGGAGAGTAGTGCCCAGGCCCTGAATTCAAGCCCCAGGATGAGCACAAAAATCAATCAATCAATCTGCTATTTGGGAATTGGTGATCAAGGCTATCCTATTCAAAAAAAATTTTTACTGAGACTCCTTCTCAATCAATATGCCAGGAATGGTAATCTCCACTACTTGAGAACCAGATCTAGGAAGAAAGAGATCCAAAGCCCACCCCAGGCAAAAAGAAATGCAAGACTCTACCTGAAAAAGTCCCCTCAAAGGGCTAGGGGCGTAGTTTAAGAGGTGGAGCACATGCCTAGCAAGCGCAAGTCACCGCGTTCAAACCCTAGTACTGCCAAAAAAAGAATAAGAAGAAAAAAGTCAGCCTGCGTGTTTTCCCTCCCAGATACTTTTCCAGATGCTGCATTTCTAATCTAGTGGTGACACTAAGCCAAGTTGCCTCTAGTGGTCTGAGCAGGTGCAGTTTGGGAGATGAGAACGTGTTGCTGGACATGCGCAGGGCTGAGTCTGCAGGGCTTGGTTCTCCTCTCCACCCAGACCATGTACATACGTGGTCTTCAGGCCACTGACTTGTTTAGAGGTATGATCTCATCCCTTCCTTCTAGGCTCTGTTCTCTTCCAGAGAGCTGGATTTGCTGGGCTCCTCACCTCTAGACCAGGGAGGCATCCCTCAGCCTCAATAGGTGATGTACTGTTTGCTCCGGTGAAGTGATGCATGATTCTAGACAACCTATGATTCTCCTCTCTCATCACTAAGCAAGTGTGGGCAGCCAAGAAGCCAAAACATGGGAACTCCCAAGCAGGGGTTATCAGCTGAGAATCTGGGTGCGCCCTCCCCCCCCATTCAACCTACACCTCTATTTCTCCTGCACACAGACCGTGAGAGAGGGTTCTTCTCCATGGCCCATGCCAGTAATTCTAGTGAGTTGGCAGGCTGAAATCAGGAGGATTGTGGTTCCAACTATCTCAGCCCTGGAAAAAAAAGTTCCTGAGACTCCTCAACCAAGAGCTAGGTATAGTGGCACCCACCTATTGTCCCAGATTTTATGGCGGGGAGGGGGGGTGGTAAGAGTGGGAGGATTGTAGTTCCAGGCCAACCTGAGCAAAAAACTTTGGAGACTGTCAGTGGAAAGAGCTGGGCATGGTAGTGCATGCCTGTCATCCTAGCTACTATTGGATGGGGTAAAACAGGTGATTACTGTTTTATCTGTGAGACCCTATCTTAAAAATAATCAGAGCCAGATGCCGGTGACTCACACCTGTAATCATAGCTACTCAGGAGGCCAAGATCTGAGGATCACGGTTCAAAGCCAACCTGGGCAAGGAAAGTCCGGAAGACTCTTATCTACAATTAACCACCAGAAAACTGGAAGTGGTGCTGTGACTCAAGTAAACTGAAGAGCTGAAGAGCCGAGGGACAGCACCCAGGCCCAGAGTTCAAGCCTCACAACTGACTACTACTACAACTAATAATAAGAATCAGTGCCAAAAAGTTGGAAGCATTGCTCAGCAGTTGAGCACCTGATAAGAAAGCGTGAGGCCCACCAGAGTTCAAAACACTGCCCACCCCCACCCCGGAAAAAAAAATGGAGTAACGGAAATGGAAACATTGAAGATAAGAGGAGAAAGGAGCTACAAAGGCAGGAAAGGCTAGTACGAGATGTAGATGCAGCTCCCTTACCTTCATCTTCAGCAGCTGATTCTCCACATGGGCTGCCTCCAATTGCCTCTGCTTTTCACGCAGTTTGTCCATGCAGGCTTCATAGGTCTGCTGCAGATTTCTGATTTGGTCCTTAATGTTACTGTTTTCCAAAGTGACATCTACCAGGCTTTTCTATGAGGACAGAAACACAAACGAAACCAGATCGAGGGATGTGAGAACCTATGGCTAGGGCCACGCGGCGGGCACTTCCCCTTGTCAGACCACACTGCAACCTGGGGGTTTGAGGGATGTGGGCTTCCTTACAGTGATGAAGACACCTGCCAACTTGATATTTGGGGGCTGGGGAGCTTTCCATAATCATCAGGGCACCTGCCATGGCTTAGGATGGATAGAAAGGGATTGAGGCTTTCTGAGGAAAATGTGTTACTACCTCACTTCACAAAGGAAACCACACCTGCAACAAGTCACTGGAGTAGACTCTCATTAATAAAGCCTCGGGCAAATAGTAGTTCTCACTATGTAATAGAATAGGAGGCATTTCTCTTAACTTTTTCTATAGTGTGTGTATATCAGTTTATCAATCAAAATAGGTGTATCAATCAAAACTAGGCAAATTCATATATGTATGTATGTATGTATGTATTTGGCAGTAATGGGGTTTGAACTCAGGGCCTAATACTTACTAGGCAGGCACTTTGTCACTTAAGCATTCCCATCAGCCCCCTTTTTTTTTTTTTTTTCCCCGGTTGTGGGGCTTGAACTCTATCCCTGAGCTCTTCAGCTCAAGGCTGGGGCTCTACCCCTGGAGCCACAGCACCACTTCTGGTTTTCTGATGGTTAATTGGAGATAAGAGTCTGACAGACTTTCCTGCCCAGACTGGCTTTGAACCTTGACCTCAGCCTCCTGATTAGCTAGGACTACAGGCGTGAGCACCAGCGGCCTGGCTCCATCAGCCCTTTTTGCTTTATTTTCAAAAGGGTCTCATGGTTTTTCCCACTGATGACCTCAGACCGCAATCCTCCTACTTCTACCTCCTGCCTGGCTTCAGATTGTGGTCCTCCCTGCCTCCCTCTCCCAAACAGCTAGCATTACAGGAATGAAGGTACCATCACACCCAGCTCTCAATTTTTTTTCTGCCAATAAATAATAATAATAATAGAAAACAGAAACATGATATAGGCCCTAAGCTAGGCTGAATGTAGATGGGACAAAGACCTTCCTAGTGGGCTGGAATGAGATGGCATCCCAAAGGGAAGGAAAGGGGGCCTTAGTGAGCCCCCTTGACAGCAGGAGGAAGGGAAAACAAAGGCCCTGGAACAAGCCAGAGCCAAACTGGGGCTTGGCCTGAGGCCAGGGAAAACTGGCATATGCAAAGGAAAAGCGTGGGGTTTGGAGGCCCCACCAGAAATGGGCATCCCAGACAAACCCAAACATGAGACCCACCCAGCGTCACCGCTGGACAGAGGCCGAGCTTTGTTGTGACCCCGTGGGCTATCGTTAGGGAATGCTCAGTACCACCAGAAGGAGACGAGCCCCACGTGAAAGTCTGTTTGCTTATCCACTCAGTTATTTATATAGGACCAGACGGGATTTGAAAATCATTTGTGGAACCTTTCAGAGGACAGTAAAAAGATAAGAGCCCGTTTTAGTTGGAGAAAGGACAGAAACCATTGTGTAAATGTTTGGAAAGCAAGGCCAAGGGAAGCTAGTCCACGTAAACACAAAGCTTTGTTTTGGATATCTTCGCTGTGTTAGGCAGGGACGGCTCTGTTGGGACTGTGAGAGGGGCAGCATTTGCATGGTGAGGGCCTAGCCAATCAGATGAGTGAAGACAGTCCCTTGCCTTGAATTGAAGACCCGCAATTTTTTCTTTTTAAACAAATGAAGGATACCGAGTCTTTCTCTTTCTCTTTGTCTGGTACCACAAGACATTGTGTGGAATACACACAGCCCTGTCTAATGCAAAAATAGGAGCTGGCAGTGTGGCTTAATGGTGGAGTCCCTGCCTAGACAGCTTGCTCGCCAGGTGCTCTACCACGTGAGCCATGCATCCAAGCCTTTTCTGCTTTCAGTTAGTTTTGCAGTAAGCTCTTGTATTCCAAGACCAGCCCTGGGCAAAAATAAGAATTAAAAAAAAAAATACAGGAGTTTACTGGAAAAATAACTGAGGAGCCATGGGGTGTGTGTGGTGGTGAAGTGATAGCTCCAGCCTGAACACAAGGGTCTGAACTGCCCCCTCCCCCATCCCAATGAGCGTAAAACAAAGGGACAATGTCTCTGACTTCCTTAAGGCCCAGTCTTCCCTGTGACTGTGATTCTGAACAATGGGCTCAGGAGCAGAGGAGCAGGACTCCTCCCCGTGACACGCAGCAGATGAATACCTGCAGGCCAATGGAGTCTGATGCCAAAGCCGAGCTCATGGCGTTGAAACTATCCAAGGCTGATGACTGGCTCTCGATGTGATTCTCCAGATAATCTTTCTGAGCACTGGAGACCTGGACCAAGGGAGGAGACAAGTCAAAACCAACTCACACCCCACAGCAGTCTTCAATGGAACTTCCTTCTGCGAGCACATGTCCATCTCAACGGCGTTTACCCTTAACGCTTTAGCTTAAAGGCAACAGATGCGCGAGCCAGACAGTAGAAAGACAAAACATAATTTTCCTTCAGATAGCATTTTCACATTCACCCACAGAAGCACAGAACCCCACTGGGCAGGAGTCAGCATTGGCTCTTCATAAGAAAGGAACTGGATGAGAGAGGGAAAGTGATCTACTCAGTCACACAGCGGGAAAGGCAAACCATAAGGAATGGTTTCTGACATCTTGTTCCTTCTAGTCGCCACAGGAAGCACAGCTGTGGGCTTTTCTTATTCTCTAGGGTGGTTTTGTGGCTGTTGCAGGTGCTTTAATTGAGTGTGTCTGTTTAATGTGTTGGAGAAAGTTCTGTCACAGACCCAGTCCCATGCCAGAGCTTAACAGTGGGACTAGGGGTGGGACATTCATGAAGGCTCAGGGGTGGAGAAGGGCACAGAAATCAGCCAGGCAGGACAGAGCAGGAGGAGCCCCTAGGGGTTGAAACATCAGGCCAGATCCAGGGGCAGGTGATACCCAACTCTATTCGGGGCTGTGATTGTCTGGCCATAATCAGTAAATACTAGTCTGTGTGTAGCTGGGAGGTGGATGGAGAATGCAGTGTGGAGGAGAGACAGATTCCAGGACAGTTGTAACCCCAGAAAATGATCACACGTAGGAGATGGCCAGCGAAACACGGGCCTGTCCCTGCTCCCAGGGCAAATTCAGTCATTTAGCTTTAGGGACAGTCATCAGTGTCTGTCAGTGAATTTCCACAGAGGGCATGTGAGGATGTCACATATTTCCTGCACACTGGTGAGAGTGGGCTTTAGTGGGCATGTTTATACACTCCAGTTCTGTAATCAACAACACAAGAAGATGCCTGACGATCCAGCCACAGACTGGATGTTCAGGCCCAGCTTCTGTCCAACCTCATTCCTGCAGATCTGGTCTCTCATGGAAGATCTGTCATCCATATAACAACTCACCTTGGAGCCTATGAATAGCAAGGATCCCCTTTGAATCCCACCAGCAATAGCTTGGTTAAACTAGAAGCTTAACTGTACTCACATGTGCCAACATTTAAAAAGTATAAAAGGTACAGACAAATAAGTCTCCCTTCACGCCTATCACACACCCCAAGTCCCTCCCCTGCTCTCCCCACTTTTCCTCCCTACTATCAGCAACTGGGAATCGCGTTCTCGATTATCTTTCAGTCATTTCAGGGCACACACGGAACAATCAGGTATTATTCATGTTGTCCTCCTGCTTTATGTAAGTAGAAGTAGATAATAGGGGACCAGGGGTAGGTCCCTTCTCATTAATAAAGTGTTGATCATTATCCACTCTGTAATGTTGAGGTTTTTCTTATCACTTGTTCAACAGCTTCTTTTCTCTTATGCTTTTACAATCATATATTTGCTAACACAGCACGTCTGATAAAATATCATTCGACAGGCTATCATTTCCTTTCCTCTTCCTGGTGGCCTTTAGGTTTCCAATATTTTTACCATTACAAGCAATGCTGCCCTAAATAAGTTTGCCCAGCTGTCATTGCCCACGTGTGAGAGCCTATCTGTAGAATAAAGTTTTAGGACTAGACTTTGGAGGGAATGCTTTGAAGATCAAAAAGATAGTTCTTAAAGGTTTCCTGTAAATAGCAGTGTTCAATCTGTGACGATACTTCCCTCATTTCATGTAAAACATGGCTCCCTTCAGGAAGAACATGAAATATTTGAACATCTTCAAGTACCCAGACACCAAGGGGAGGTTCCACCCTCTGCCCTCTCCTCCCCACAGCCAGGACACTGAGGTATAGACTTACTGACAGATCCTGAGTGAGCTGTCGGATCTTCTGTCTCATTTCATCATAGTCTCCATACATCCGCTTCCTGACTTTCTCCAAAGTGTCTCTCACCTACAGCCCACCAGAATGGTAAGAGGTTAAACTAGAACATTTTCATGAAAGATGATCAACATTTATTAATGATGAGACCCAGCCCTCCTCCCCCCTCAAAAAAAAAAACATTGGCCTGGGCTCCTATCTGTAATCCTAGCTACTAAGGAGTATGAGATGTGAGGATTGAGGGTCAAAGACAGCAAAGAGCCAAGCCGGAGGCATGGTTCAAGTGGTAAAGGGCTAGCAATGAGTAAGTAAGCAGGAACAAGCACATGAGGGCCCTGTATCCAAGCCCTAGTGCTGGCATAGATAGATAGACAGATAGATAGATAGATAGATAGATAGATAGATAGATAGATAGATAGATAGATAGATAGATAGATAGATAGATAGATAGATAGATAGATAGATAGATAGATAGATAGATAGATAGATAGATAGATAGATAGATAGATAGATAGATAGATAGATAGATAGATAGATAGATAGATAGATAGATAGAGAAAAACAATAGCTAACATGATATGGCTCTGTGTATTTGCAAACCCATCAAGTTAAATGTTCATAAAGCTGTAGGTTTTTACTTTCACAAAATCTATACTTCTAACATTATCATGAGATACACAAAAACATTTCCATATCAAAATAACTCTTAAGAATTTGTTTTCCATCTGATAAGCTCCAAAAAAAAGAAATGTAGGTCCTAAAAGGAATCCCCTAAGTGGCTCACATCTTTGATGTAGTTCATCTCTTCTTTCAGCTGATTGGTGGACCAGCCATACACCACCATTTCCTTCTGCTGGTTTTGATCTGATCTCCGTACTACGCCATAGACGACACCCTGAGGAAGTTTGCGGGTAGGTTCCCCATTGCTCAGCTCAGGAGGCTACAAGAAGGAAGGAAGAGAGAAAAGAAACAATGAGTCGTGAGGGCTCATTAAAAACAGCTGGAATAATGGGCCTTGGTGTATGACTGCTCAGGTTGTGTCCAGCACTTGGGAGCCTGGCGTGAGAGGCAGGGGGTGCAGAGACCCAGCCTGGCCTCCATTGGCCAGGAGTCTTGACCCTGGAGGAAAGTATCTTCTGCCAACTTCTATACCCATTGTATATCCCCATTGTTCTACCTGCCCAGAGGGGATACCCTTTTCTAATTCTTCCAAGGTACAAGAGAGACTTGTTTATTACATCAGTGAGTATTCGAGTCCTCACACTCATGGTGGCACTGTTTTTCCTTTTATACCAATTCCTTTGATAACTTCATCTGAAAATACATGGTCTGAAATTCAAGAAATCATCTGGCAGCCAAATAGTCCAGCGAGGGTAGGGCTAACCCTAGGATGCAGTTCTGAGTAAAAAGAGGTGTGGTTGGTCGCCAACCTCTTGTGTCTATTCATGAAATATTTCTTTCTTTTTTTTTGGTCTGTCATGGGACTTGAACTCTGGGTCTAGGCACTGTCCCTGCGCTCTTCAGCTCAAGGCGAGCACTCTACTCACTTGAGCCACAGCACCATTTCCAGTTTTCTGGTGATTAGTTGAAGATAAGAGTCTCACAGCCGGAGCTGGTGGCTCACACCTGTAATTCTAGCTATTCAGGAGGCTGAGATCTGAGGATCGTGGTTCAAAGCCAGCCCAGGCAGAAAGTCCATGAGACTCTTATCTCTAATAAACCACTCAGAAAACCGGAAGTGGTACTGTGGCTCAAGTGGTAGAGCACTCGCCTTGAGCTGAAGAGCTGAGGAACAGCACCCAGGCCCAGAGTTCAAGCCCCACAACCGACAAAAAGAAAAATAGTCTCACAGACTTTCCTGTCTGGGCTGGCTTTGAACTTCAGATCTCAGCCTCCTAAGTAGCTAGGATTACAGGCATGAGCCACTGGCGCCTGGCTTCATGAAATATTTCTGAGGCTGAGGCAGAGACAGTGTGATTGCACTAGCTGGAGAATCTTCCAACTCCTGCTACCTGATCTTTAATTCCTTCAATTAAAGCTTAGATCACTGTTTCCAAATCAGGAAAATAAGCTTTATTGAAGACTAGTTACTGTAAGTAACTAGTAGAAATGTCCCTTAGTAGAAATGTCCCTTAGTACATTTCAAGTTCATAGTCAATCTGGTGGATAACAGTTACTGTCTCCACTTCATAGCCGAGAAAACTTAAGTTCACAAAGGTGAAATAACTTGCTATGGCCACACATGTAGATTCAAGCCCATTCTGTCTGACATTACGTGAATCTGCACATTCTGTAGGGTTTCTCTGATGTGGCAGGACAGAGTAGGAGCCTTCACAATAAGGAGGGGACAGAGGCAAGAAAAAACAAAGACCAAGGATTGAAACCCCTCCCAGCTTTGCCTGTATGTGAACACCACAAGACAGAGAACCCCAAAGTCCACTTGGGCCACTCTGCTCTCCTAACTTTTCAACCATCTCTGCATAGATTCCCTCACAGAATAGTTTCTGACATACAAAATGGTAATTTGCATTTTTACATCATTCATTTTAACAGAATAAGATGTACTTTTTGATCCCACTCAAAATTGGTAAAATGGAGGGGGTGGGGAGGGCATGGCAGGGAAGCCTAGAAAGATGTATGACAAGTTATTCAAATCCATGATCTCTGATAAGGCCGCAGTGAAGTTGGGGCAGGGATGCTGGACAGCAGGATGGCTTTTGATTCGATTTAGTTTTTCTTGATACTCTATTGCATTACTCCTTCAAAAAAAAGAAAACACCTCTAATTTACAAAGAGAACATTTTGAAAAGGAAGACAATATAGCCCTGGCTTCCTCCACATGTCTTAAGTACCCCCTTGGGAAGAGATGGGACCCAAGGCCCAGGTGCTCTGGTTTTCTTGTAACTCCCATAGACACACCGCTGCTCCTGAAATGTGTCAGTAAGTCTAGTTGACTGGGCTTATTAAGTGGTTCTCGGTACAGTGACAAGCTGGCATTAAGAGATCCCTCGCTTATTGAACATGTAATTAGGAAGCTCTAAACATATTCCCCACAGATCAGGAAACAAAAGCATGTTCTTTCAGTCATGAGCTCCACCCAGTTCCTGCAAAACAAGTTGATGGCCTCACCGGCTTTGCTGAGATGAATGTCCACAAAGCCAGGGCACCCACAGGTGGACTGGCCACCAGAATAACTCAGGTGGCCAGACACAAAAGATGCCACCTCCAGCCAAGGTGGGGACCTGGGAACCACCATAAACAGAGGAAAACACAAATGACTTCAGGACAAAGGGTCTCTGGGACACTGCCCGAGAGGTCCTGGGCCTAAGAATGAAAACCAGGAAGAAGTTTCTAAGACATGTTAAATGAAATGTACTAGATTTGCATTCTCACTTTTTTGTTTTAAGAATGGATGTGTCTTTGTGTAACACATCAGAAACATGCAGTCAAACCTTTGGTGACAAATCCCTTGAGCAAATGGGATGTCATTGTTCCTTTAGTGTTCTTTTGTATTCTTTGATTTTTTTTAGCAAAAAAAAATTCAGGTGTTACTGTTAAAGCGATCGGTTTTATTTTATTATTTTTTTAAAGCAAGGAATCTGTAATCCCATCTATTTGGAAGGTAGAGGAGGAAGAATCTTGGTACTAGGCCTGGCAGAAACTTGAAACTCTTTTAGAAAACTAACTGATCGCCAGTGGCTCCTACCTACTCAAGTCTGAGGACTATGGTTTGAAGTCTGGGCAGAAAAAATGATGAGACTTTTATCTCCAGTTAACCATCAAAAAGCTAGAAGTGGAGCTATGGCTCAAATGGTTGGAGTACCAGCCTTGAGTGAAAAAGCTAAGGGACACTGCCCTAAATCCAAATCCCAGTACACACACACACACACACAGAGAGAGAGAGAGAGAGAGAGAAAACACTAAAGAAAAAAGGGTTGGGGGCATGACTCACATGGTAAATCACCTGCCTAGTAAGAGCAAGCCTTGAATTCAAACACAATGCTGCCTAAAGAAGGAAATAGATGAAAAGTTACTAAAATATCAGTCTAAATAAAAGACCCCCTGGAAGGAACAGGGTCACAAGACTCTGCTCAGATATACCCCCATAGCTTGGCTATGACCCAGGGAGAATAAGAAAAAAAGCGGGGGGGGAAATATTTGCTGTCCAGTGATTTTTATCACACAATATTTTCTTTAATCCTCACAATAACCCTTCTGTGGAAATATTATTATTAGATCTTTCAGGGTGGCAGATTTCAAGTCTTTTTCTGTTTTTCCAAGTCTAACTCTTCCTTCGATTGCATTGCCTCCAAACTCGCTAAGAATCGTCACAGTAACTGGAACTCCCATTTCCACATAGCATCTCAGAGACTCAAGAGATAGAGAGCCTGCCCTGCCCCCAAATCCAGTCTTCAGATCTCTGGGCCGTTTGGAAGAGTCAGACCCACCCAGGATAGGGGCTCTTCTCTACTTACCCCACCCCGCTTCCACTGACTCACTTAAGCTGCACACTTTCCCTTCTGTTCTGTAACCAAAAGCCTCCCTTTTTGACTCTATTATTAAGCTATTTATACAGGCCTTTCCTCTTTATCTCACATGGCTAGGCTGAGATGTCCTTGCTTCCAGAATATCCTCCCTCTCCAACTCTTCAGACCTGTTAAGACTACTCCTGTCCACCCACCACATGACCAACCACAGCCATAACCAAGGAGTCATAAGTATCCAGACTGACTGTCAGTTCCAAGACTCGATTAGGCCATGTTGAGCTTCCTACTGTAGTTCTAGCATTCTAGCAGTTGTGGACCTGTAATGACCTTCTCAATAAAGATTTGCTGACTGAATAGGAGGTTAAACACTGGAGAAGACTCTGGGTATCATCTAGAGTATGTAAATATTGCCCAGTTGGAGGATACACCTTTAATCCTAATAGATGGAGAGACAAGAGACTGCTGTTTGCCTCCATTTAAAAAAGATGATGCCCAGCAAAGTTCTAAAGGAGAAGAAAATGCTATGACTTTTCCAAAATATCAGGATGCTATGGTCAAAAACTGCAGTGAACACAGGGGAAAACAAAAAAGAGCTAATATTTGTGACTGAATTTTTCTTTTGTAACCTTTAAAATATCTCTATAATATTACTTTTTAGGCAAGACAAAAGTGTCATAATAAATAGTAAGAAACAGTTGTAATCTTTTGGAGAAGCATACTGAAATATTCATAGCATATTTATTTATTTATGCAGGGGGAAGGATGTAGATGGAGAGGGCAGGGGCAACGCTGTCACCAAAGAAGGAAGAGGAAACAATCGGCTTGAAGGGGTGGGCATTCCATAACCCCTGCATGTACATGAAGTGCCACAAGAGTCAACAGCAAGCGTAATCAGTAACATACAGACTCCAGATTCCAGTGCTTCCTGTGGGTACCACTTACTGCCATGCTCATACTTGAAGCTGTTTCCTTAGACTTGGAAAGAAGCTCCAGAAACATAACTCCATCTATATGGCTGAAGTAATGCATTCATGGGCCACTAGAGAATTTGGGTTACTGAGGCCAGTGACAGGTGACCGTATTTTCCACCTCCTGAATCAGAATACAGTGTCCTACAGAACAACAGGCTCCAAAAAGATACAGACTATCTCCTGATGTTCTGCTCAGTATCAATAGATTCTCAATGAATACTTTTTTTCTTTTGGCAGTGTTTTAACTCAGGACCTTGCACTTGCTGGGTAAAAGTTCTATTTCTAGAGCCTCATCCCAACCTTTTTTTTTTTCTTTAATTATTTTTCTGGGTAGGATCTTGCATTGTTGCCCAGTGCCAGCCTCCCTCTCATATGGCTAGAATTATAATCCTGTGCTACCACACACACCCAGGTTATTCGTCAAGATAGGATCTCCCTAATTTCTTGCCCAGTCTTGGCCTTGAACCTAGCTAGATCCTCCT